CCTCCGCGCCGTACGTGGGTCTTGCCCCCAGGCCTTGTCCTTCCCGGGACCCCTCCTTGGGTGTCTGGACCGCAGGGCGAGAGGCGCGGCCTCGGAAGGGTTCAAGCCTCGGATCCCGCCGCAGCCCAGCCCAGCGCCCCGCCAGCCTTTGCTGGGCCCAGCCGGGTGCCCCGTCCCTCTCCCCCACCCTCTACGCCCTTCTCCATTCAATCACGTAATGGTCAGAGAGGTTCCTCGGCCTGACCGAGGGCTCAGGAGTGCTAAGCGCCTCCCCCTCCCCGAGGGTCCTCCATTCAAGGAACGGTTGTGATCACTGTTTAACAGGGAGGGAAACTGAGGCACAGAGAGGCCAAGTTGGAGATACCCAGTTAAAGATGCAGCAAGAATAAAGCAAGACCTGAACTCATTTCTGTCTGACTCTAGAAAAGGCGCTTTTGGGCTAAGATATGTGAGTAGAAGATAAAGAATGACAGCAAGGAAGATCGATTGTGGGCTTGCTGTGTGCCATGTTTCCTGCATTATTAACTTGTTTCCTTTTCAAACATTCCTAGGCAATGGGTGCTATTGTCATTGCCATTTTACAGATGAACAAATTGAAGCCCAGAGAGGGAAAGTGACTTGACCAAGGTCACACAGGTGGTAAGTAGCCATGTGCTCACTGTCAGTTTTTCATGGAAGAAGGGAAGAATAAAAATGGATTTTGGTGTGTCCAGGTAAAGGGACAATGTCCGCTATACTGACCAAGACCCAGACTCTTCCTTCCTACAAGCTAGTGGGTTGGCAAATGTCTGGGTCTTTGAGAAAGAGGATGGTGATCAAACTCTCTCCTTTCTTAGTCTTAGAATCAGTCCTGGGGTTGCTGGAGAGTGAAGGAGTGTACCTAATGTCCTCTACCCCTTTAAATTTCATATTTGTAATCCATCGGTGTTCTAGAGCATAGCTTTGGAGTCAGGCAATACGTCAGTTAGCTATTGCCACAATAATGCTGTATAACAAGTCACCCCCCGCCAAACTCAGGGTCTTAAAATACTAAGCATTTATGTAGCCATTGAGTCTGAACTCCGTAATTTAGACTGGGCTCGACTGGGCAGTTCTGGTCCCTGCTGGGCTCACTCCTGTGGTTGGGGTCAGAGTGGGGATGGTGTTGGCAGCATTAGCTGACCTTTGGTAGAATGACTGGGGCCTTAGACGTGGTCTAGCCCAGGTATGTTTTTCTCATGACCACAGTTGAGTGCAAGCAGAAACGTGCAGAGTCACCTGAGTCCTGGGCTCAGAATTGGCACACCCACACTTCCATATGGCCAAACCCAGAATCAAGGGGAGGGGCATATCCCCCCTCCACATCTCTCCTACTCTAGCAGTCAGAGGACAGTGACAAAGGGTGTAGCTGCAAGGGTGAGGAATTGAGGCCATTAATGCCGTCTTTCACAATGCCCGTGTTTGAATCCTAGCTGCTTACTAGCTGTGTAACCTTGGGAAAGTGGATTAACCCCTCTGTGCCTCAGTTTCCTCCTCTGTAAAATAGGCATAGTGATAGCCAATGGTTAGGGAATTACATTTATGGAACTGAAATAGAATGCATGTAAAGTATCGAGCACCGCCCGTGTGTTTGGTAAATATATAGAATGCTATAATTGATAACAATGTTATTGTTCAAATGATAATAGCAGTGACAATTTGCTGAGCCTTTACCCTGTGCCAGATGCTAAGCTAAGCCAGGTGTTTTACAACCCTGTGAAGTGGTTAGTGTGAACATTATTATTATTACTGTATGTCTACTTTAAAGACAGAGAAATTGCTGGGCATGGTGGCTCACATCTGTAATCCCAGCACTTTGGGAGGCAGAGGTGGAAGAGTCGCTTGAGCCTGAGAGTTCAAGACCAACCTGGGCAATATAGTGAGAACTTGTATTTACAAAAATAAAAAATCAGCCTGGCATGGTGGTGGACACCTGTAGTCTCAGCTAGCTACTCAGTTACTCGGAGGCTGAGACAAGAGGATTGCTGGAGCCCAGGAGTATGAGGCTGCTGTGAGCCATGATTGTGCCACTACACTCCAGCCTAGGTGACAGAGTGACTCTGACTCAAAAAATACATAAAGACAGGTAAATTGAGGGCAAGAGAAGGGACAGGACTCACAGCCGGTCACTGTTAGAAGTGCGGTGGCTCTCGCCTATAATACCAGCATTTTGGGAGGCCAAGGTGAGAGGATTGTCTGAGCCTGTGGGTTCGAGACCAGCCTGGGCAACTTAGCGAGACCTCACCTCTACAATAAATTAAAAAATTAGCTGGGCGTGGTGGTGTGCTCATTGTTCCAACTACTTGGAAGGCTGAGACTGAAGGATCGCCTGAGCCCAGCACGTCAAGGCCAGGATCATGCCACTATCCTCCAGCCTGGGTGACAGAGTGAGACTCCAACGCAAAAAAAAAAAAAAAAAAAAAAAAAGATGGGGGAATGGGCGGGGAGCCAGGTGCAATGGCTTGCACCTGAGGCAGGAGGATCACTTGAGCCCAGGAGTTTGAGACCAGCCTGGGCAACATTGCAAGACCTCCATCTCAAATAAATAAATAAAAAAGGAGGTGGAAATGGGAAAAAAAAGAAGTGAGACCTCTGAGCTCAGGCCCTGTTTTCAGCTTTACCCTGCTTTTCCCTGTCACCAGGCCTCACCTTCCCCGATGGCGCAGGTCCCAGGGGCAGTTGACAACATGGAGGGCTTGCCTACCTCTAACAACAACAATCTTTCAACCCGCTGGGAGAGCCCGGATCGGGGCTGGGAGAGGGAGCAGCCGGCAGCCTCCACTGCAGCAGCCTCACTCTTTGAGTGCTCCCGGATCAAGGCCTTGGCAGGTACCTGGAGAGGAGGGCTGGGGAGGTATGGTGGGGCGGAGGGGGGAAAGTGAAGGAAGAGGAATGGGTGCCTGAGAAGCTAGATGGCCCGGAGGGTGGGAAGAGATACCAGCACCATCCAACAGAACCAAGTTCCATAGTGCTGGAACTATTCTGTATCTGTGATGTCCAATATAATCATCACTACTACATGTGACTTTTGAGCACTTTAAATGTGGCCAGTGATACTTGAGGGACTGAGTTTCAAATTTTCTTTATTTTAATTCATTTAAATTTAAGCTGGGTATGGTGGCTCAAGCCTGTAATCCCAGCACTTTGGGAGGCTTAGGTGGGAGGATCGCTTGAGGCCAGGAGTTCGAGACCAGCCTAGGCAACACAGCAAGACCTCGTCTCTATAAAAAATCAAAAAATTAGCTGGGCATGATGGTGAACATCTGTAGTCCCAGCTTCTCAGAAGGCTGAGATAGAGGCTGCGGTGAGCCATGATTGTGGCACAGAACTCCAGACTGCATGACAGAGTGAGACCCCGACTCAAAAAAAAAAATTAAAAATTAAATAGCCACATGCGACTTGGGGTTGCCATATGTGGCACCACAGTCTTAGAACCTTAGAATGTACCATCCCGGTGACTCAATCTGTAATCCCAGCACTTTGGGAGGCCAAGGTGAGTGGATTGCCTGAACCCATGGGGTTAAGACCAGTCCAGGCAACTTGGCAAGACCTGCTCTCTACAATAAATAAAAAAAAATTAGCCGGCCATGGTAGCAGGTGCCTGTAGTTCCAGCTACTTGGAAGGCTGAGGTGGAAGGATTGCCGAAGCCCAGCAGGTCAACGTTGGAGTGGCCGTGAGTGTGCCACTGCACTCCAGCCTGGATGACAAAGTAAGACTCCAACTCAAGGAATGTGGAACTTCGTAAGTGTATTCCTTTAGAATCTTGAAATGCATAACCATTGGATCCTAGGACCTGGGAACATCATTTTCAGGAATTCTTAGATCTTTAGAAATGGAGAACTTTGGAAATGTAGAACTTGGCCAGGTGGGGTGGCTCATGCCTGTAATCCCAGCACTTTGGGAGGTGGAGGCAAGAGAATTGCCTGAGCCCAGGGGTTCAAGACCAGCCTGGGCAACTTGGTTAGACCATGTCTCTACAATAAATCAAAAATTAGCTGGGCTTGGTGGTGCTCGCTTATGATCCAGCTGTCTAGAAGGCTGAGGCAGGAGGATAACCTGAGCCCAGCGGGTCGAAGCTGTGGTGGTTGTAAGCATGCCACTGCACTCCATCCTGGACAACAGAGTAAGACTCCAACTCAAAAAAAGAAAAAAGAAAAGAAAAAAGAAACCTAAACTGTATCTCATCAACAATAAGTGGAAAAAAAGAAATCTAAGCTGTAATACACATAAACCCTTGGGTCTTCATAATCCTAAACATTTAGAATTTCAGATTAGAAATGTGGACCCTAAAAACTTGGAGGTAGAATGACCAAATCTTACTGGGTTTGCTACTGAAACTCTCAGCCTCAGGTCAACTGGATTTGTTGGTCACTCTTCTTTGATGTCTTAGAACAATATCAGCAAAGTCCACAGAACTTCATAGTTACAGAAAGACCTTAGGCCTTCAAAATTGTAGTCCCTTGTACCTTTATATTTTATACTTTATATACTTTGTAGTCATAGGGTTTTAGAACCTCAGAAGTGTTTAATCATCAGCATTAAAACTGGCAAAGCCGGGCACAGTGGCTCAAGCCTGTAATCTCAGCACTTTAGGAGGCCGAGGTGAGAGGATTGCCTGAGCTCAGGGGTTCGAGGTCAGCCTGGGCAACTTGGTGAAACCTCATCTCTACAATAAATAAAAAAATAAGCTGGGCATGGTAGCGCTCGCCTGTAGTTCCAGTTACTTGGAAGTCTGAGATGGAAGGATTGCCTGAGTCCAGCTGGTCGAGGCTGCAGTGGCTGTGCATGAGTGAGTGTGCCACTGCACTGCAGCCTGGGCGACAGTGAGAGTGACACTCTGACTCAAAAAAAAAACAAACAAAAAACTGGCAACAGCAGCCAGGCATGGTGGCTCATGCCTGTAATCGCAACACTTTGGGAGGCAGAGAAGAGAGAATCGCCTGAGCTCAGAGGTTCGAGACTAGCCTGAGCAGCATGGCGAGACTTCATCTCTACAATAAATAAAAATCAACCAGGCATGGTGTCGCATGACTGTAGTTCCACCTACTTGGAAGGCTGAGGCAGAAGGATTGCCTGAGCCCAGCAGATAGAGGCTGTAGTGGCCATGAGGATGCCACTGCACTCCAGCCTGAGCAACTTGAGATTCCTACTCAAAAAAAAAACAAACCTGAGAACCCTCAGAGATATGAAACTTCATAATGTTAAGCCTTTAAAACATAAACCCCCTAGCACCTTTGACCCTTGGGACCTTAACATCTTGGAAACATGGGGAGCTGTAATCATAAAATATAGGTTGTTATAGTCATAAAATCTTTTTTTTTTTTTTTTTTTTGAGTTGGAGTCTCACTCTGTTGCCCAGGCTGAAATGCAGTGGCATGCTCATGGCCACCGCAACCTTGACCTGTAGGACTCAGGCGATCTTTCCACCTCAGCCTTCCAGGTAGCTGGAACTACAGGCACATGGACCATGCCCAGCTAATTTTTTGATTGACTATAGAGATGTGATCTCACCAAGTTGCCCAGGCTGATCTCAAACCCCCGAGCTCAGGCAATCCTCTTGCTTCTGCCTCCTAACTGCTGGAATTACAGGCGTGAGCCACTGCGCCTGGCTATATAGTCATAAAATCTTAAAACTTGAAAGTCAGAATCAGTTTCTCAGAATCTCAGAAGTTCAGTAACTCAGCATTTTATGATCATAGGCTTTTAAAAATTATTTATTTATTTATTTATTTTTGAGTTGGTGTTTCACTGTTTGCCAGGCTGGAGTGCAGTGGCACACTCATGGCTACCATGGCCTCGACCTGCTGAGCTTAGGTGATCCTTCTGCCTCAGCCTTCCAAGTAGTGGGAATTACAGGCACACACCACCATGCCTGGCTAATTTTTTGATTTATTGTAGAGATGAGGTTTCGCCAAATTGCCCAGCTAGTCTTGTACCCCTGTCTCAGGCAGTCCTCTCACCTCGACCTCCCAAAGTGCTGGGATTACAGGCCTGAGCCACCGTGCCCAGCCTTTTTTTTTTGAGTTGGGATCTCTCTCTGTTCTTCAGGCTGGAGTGCAGCTGCACCATCACTGCTGCCTCAACCTGCTAGAATCAGGCAATCCTTTTGCCTCAGCCTTCCAAGTAGCTGGGTCTAAAGGCGTGTACCACCACACCCGGCTAATTTTTGTTTATTTATTATAGAGCTGAGGTCTTATTATGTTGCCCAGGCTGGTCTCAAACTCTTGGGCTCAGTCAATCCTTTTACTTCAGCCTCCCAAAGTGCTGGGATTATAGGCATGAGCCACCACACCTGGCTAGGATCTTTAATACAAAGATTTTTGGAATTTTATAAGCATCAAGCAGGGGTGTCATATTCAAAGGCCTCTGGGGAAGCAAGTGATATAAATGAGTGGACCGGGGACTGTGGTCACCTGGACAGCAATGCGCTGGTTATTAGCTCTGGTCATGTGGAAATATGGGTGTAAAGTTATTAGCTCTGATATTTGTCTGGAATTTCCTAAATTAAAAAAAAAGTCTGTTTATGCTACAAAGTATGAACCAGTTCAACCAATGGATTGCCAGTTTCCTCTGATATAGAAATCCTGACTGATATAAACACTTTTAGACTCTTAGAACCTTTATTTTTTCAAGTTGAAGTCTCACTCTGTCGTCCAGGCTGGAGTGTAGTGTTATGGTTACGGCCACCACAGTCTTGATTTGCTGGGTTCAGGCAATCCTTCCTCTTTAGCCTTTCAAGTAGCTGGAACTACAGATGTGTGCTACCACACCCAACTAATGTTTTGATTTATTGTAGAGATAAGGTCTCACCAAGTTGTCCCAAAGTGCTGGGATTACAGGTGTGAGCTGTCGCACCCGGCCTGTTCTTATGCACTTCTGGTGTCCACTTCAATTATCGTAACTGTAGTTTTCATTAATGCACAACCGTGGGTTTTTTTGTTTTGTTTTTTGAGTTGGAGTCTCAGTCTGTTGCCCAGGCTACATACAGTACAGTGGCACACTCATGGCCACCACAGCCTCAACCTGTTGGGCTCAGGCAATCCTTCCATTCCAGCCTTCCAAATAGCTGGAACTACAGGCGTGCACCACCACAGCTGACTCATTTTTTGATTTACTGTAGATACAAGGTCTCACCAAGTTGCCCAGGCTGGTTTCAAACCCTTGGTCTCAGGCAATACTCTCACCTTGGCCTCCCAAAGTGCTGGGACTACAGGCTTGACTCACTGCGGCTGACAACCCTATTTATTTATTTATTTATTTGAGTTGGAGTCTCACTCTGTCGCCCAGACTGGAGTGCAGTGGCCAATCCCGACCACCGCAGCCTCGACCTGCTGGGCTCCAGCAATCCTTCCGCCTCAGCCTTCCAAGTAGCTGGGACTACAGGCACGCGCTACCATGCCCGGCTAATTTTTTTTTTGAATTATTGTAGAGATGAGGTCTCGCCAAGTTGTCCAGGCGGGTCTCGAACCTTCAGGCTTAGGCAATCCACTCACCTCAGCCTCCCAAAGGCGCAGGATTACAGGCTGAGCCACCGAGCCCAGCTGATAACCCTATTTAAATAAACTATGCTTATGGTTCTTCATAACTCTACAATTAAAGCATATTTATAATCACAAAAGACTTTTTTTTTTTTCAGTCAAAGTCTCACTGTGTCTTTTAGGCTGGCATACAGTGGCACCATCACAGCTCACCACAATCTCAAACTTCGGGGCTCAGATGATCCTTCCGTCTTAGTCTCCCAGGTAGTTGGGACTACAGGTGTGCACCATCACACCTGGTTAACTTTTCTATTTTTTGTAGAGATGAGGGCTTTACATTGCTTTGTTGC